TATGTGTATATATGTATATATAAAAGCAATATTGATATCAAACGTGTGGTTAGATTTGTTTAACTTAGAATGTGTTGTTCCTTTCTTTGTACGCCCTGTATAGTTTTTAAAAGTTAAAAGCATAATCTGTACATGTATGTTTTACTGCGAATGCCTGTGTTGCTCTGTGTTATTCATCATGTGTATGTATTCAATAACAAATTCAATTAGGGGAAGGGAGGGCAAGATGGAAGGAGTAGGCACTAGGCAAGATGGAAACTACCTACCAAACCCGAACCGTGTAACGAAGCGCGCGAGTCCACACGGACACAGAGGCATGCGGCCATCTTGCATTTACGAACGACAGCTCAGTCCGGTACGATCACCTAACGAGTGTACACGCTTGCTTCTTATTTTCGTTGCAAAATATTACGCAGTTATTGGATTTTTATGATAGGATTATTTAAACAAGGTGAGTAATATTACTATTATGAATTTATATAAAGTATCTATGCTGAATCGGTTGTATAAATTGATATTTAAATAAGAGAAATAATAATGCATTTTCAAATTATTGATATTATTATTGGAATGGGTCATATGGGCAAGATGGAAAATTGCAATTTGGGGCAAGTTGGAAGAGTTTCCATCTTGCCCGCGCACATTTTTATATCTGTTTTCAATTTCTATGACTAATATTGTTGTTTTTAATTTGTTTTTAGATGGTGAACAAGTATAAAAGGAAAAGCAATAGAGGTTCTTGGACCGAAGAAACGATGCAGATGGCGATGAATGAAGCTAAAACTACATCAATAAGCTCGGCGTCAAAAAAATATGGAATTCCAATTGGAACGTTACATCGTCATATTAAAAAAGGGGACTCGTCCAAAAACCTAGGAAGGTTTAAACCTGTTTTTTCAAAAGAACTGGAGAGGGAAATATGTGATCTTGCAATGGAACGTGATATACTTTTTTATGGTTGAACAAAGCGAAGTCTACAACAACTAGCTTATGAGGTAGCGAAAGTAAATAATATTACGCATCCTTTTGCATGTGAAAAAGCTGGAAAGGCATGGCTTGATGGTTTCATGAAAAGTTATCGCCAACTGGCGTACAGGACACCAGAACCCACAGCTTTAGCTCGTTGTTCTGCTTTTAATCGCACGCAAGTGAATCGGTTCTATGATAACCTGTGGAGCATTATATCTCACCATAATTTTTTGACAAGACCCGATGACATCTATAATATGGATGAGACTGGTGTCAAGACCAGTGCTTCCAAACCTCCAAGAGTTATTTTTGTAAAAGGTAAAAAACAAGTAGGAGTTGTAGCAACAGCAGAAAAGGGGCAACTTACCACAGTAATCTGTGCTTGCAGCGCAACTGGTCGATTCATCCCTCCTTGCTTTATATTTCGACAAAGAAAAAGAATGAATGAACGCCTTCTAGATGGAGCTTCTAATGGTTCTCTAGCTTGGGTTTCAGATTCTGGTTGGATAACTAACAGCACTTTTAACAACTGGCTAAAATTTTTTATTGATAAAACAAGACCAAAACAAGACAGACCAGTTTTATTGATTCTAGACAACCATTCTACTCATCAAAACTTGGAAGCTTTGAATTTAGCTCGACAAAACCATGTAATTATGGTCAGTATTCCCCCCCATACGAGCCATAAGCTACAACCATTGGATGTGTCAGTTTACCGTTCATTCAAAGTAGCTTTTGAGCAAGCGCTAGATACTTTTCAAAAGAATCATCTCGGAAGAAGGGTAAATCAGTTTGATATAGCTAGACTTGTCTGCATTGCCTATGAAAAAAGTGCTACTGTACAAAATGCCACAAGTGGGTTCAGAAAGGCTGGCATCTTCCCATACCATAGACATTTATTTACAGATTTGGATTTTGCACCTGCAACTGTTTATGAAAATGCTGCAGTTATTGAAGAGCAATCAAATACTGCTGTAACAGATGAAGGAGACAAAGATAAAGACCCTGTCGTTGCGGAAAACATAGGTTTAAATAATGATAATGTTACAGAAATTGAAAATCCATGTGATGTCATCAACGATCCTGTTGAGAAAAACAATACTGATGAACCACCCGCTGGCAACGATAGTGAAGACAAACAGAAAGAAGAAAAGGAACTTAATTCTGATGATAAAAAAAATGAAATGACTGAAGATAGTACGCTTGAAACTCGTTCCAGTGTTTTTGATAAGAGCTGGGACCAACCACCCACTTCGCACTATATTTCTCCAATCAAAATTCTTCCATCACCAAAAGTTACTCCTACTATAAAGAAGCGGAAAGCTAGATGTCAAAGGTCAGAAGTCTTAACCAGTTCTCCATTCAAAAATGCTATTGAAATGAAAATTGAGATGAAAGCGAAACCAAAGTTATTATTTAATCGGACCATTAAAGGCAAGGAAAATCAAAACAAGGAAGTACGAACTTGCGAGAATAAAGGAAAAGGGAAAGGAAAAGGAGTAAAAACAGAAAAAGATAAACATATTGTACCAAATATAGAGCAGTCTTCACAAAATGATGTGTTCTGTGTATTATGTGGGGAACCTTACATACAATGTCCTGTATGTAGTGGTTGGGCACATGAATTGTGTACCGACACAGAGGATGGTAGTTTTATGTGTATAATCTGTAAAATGTAGTGATTTCCTGTACATTCCATCTTGCCCGAACAAGCTTTCCATCCTGCCCCCAGGGTAAGGGTAAGATGGAATTTATAAAGTTATTTTTTAGCAACTCATAGAAAAAAATCTACTTATTATTAATTTTTGTTGGCCTAAGTTTGTAACTGTATAAGGTCTGTTTCAAGACTGATTAAAATAAAAGTTCTATATCACGTTATTTTATTTTTTTATACATCATAAAGTTAAGCCTTCCACCTTGCCCTCCCTTCCCCTACTCGCTTATTTGGGTGCTCCCCTCCAGAGGTCGAGTAGAGTAGCTGTCATTTAGACTTCGCCACTGGTATTATATATATTTTTTAATTATACTGAATTTTATTTGAAAATAAATGACGGTTTATTATTACTATTATTATTATTATTGTTATTTCAGCCAAAACATATGTTCGACTGAATTCATGGTGGTTGATGCATAACGATTTTATAACCAACCTGACTGAACTTTTTGATTAACAATTTTCAGATGTGTGATTTCAAGGAACGTGAGAACAAAGTGTTTAGCGTTTGGTAGACAAGAGAGTTCTAAGACAATTTTTACGTTTTGGAGTATGCTTTAGGCAAGCATTCGAGCAAGCAAAATACCAATATATCTCGGAAACTCTGATTTATGAAGTAGACAACCTTATACAAAATTAACCTCATTTAAAATGCTTAATACGATGACGTTATAAAAAATGTGTTTGCACAAAAACACTTTTTGGTTTTTTAAAATCCTATCTTTATTTTCTTTTTTGACTAGCCTGTAATATTTGTTATCCATATCCGAAATCATTCCCTCTAAAGTTGGCTCCTTGCAGTAACAAACCTGTTCTAAACCATATAGCAAAATATGAGAAAAAATTGATTCGCTTACATTTGTTATTTTTTTACGCAAAATTTTTGATATCACAAAAACGGTTAGTCTAAGGTATATGATAGCATAGATGAAATGTATTTAGAATCTCGCGTAGACTCCAAATACTAAATAATATACAGGATGATCTATCTAAAATAAGCAAATTGGTATGTACCTCCGGTATAAACAGAAGTACCACCATTTTGCTATACCTACCTCCAAACTTTCATAAGGTTAACCTTTTGAGTAATCCATGGTTGTAGCTTTACGAGCGAGACGCTGTATGTACGTAGACGTCGGTTTACTGAATGAGGTTGGCTATCTTCAGGTGGAATATGTTAATCAATAGCTGTAGGGAAAGTGCCGAAATGCTACACCAATTCCTTGAATTAAGATGCATGTTGAAAATATGCGTCAGTTTACTCTCTACGCCCAAATAATGGTTTTTACTTTGAGCATGCACATTTTTGAATTGAGAATTGTGTCGAATCTGTTTAGGGTCGATTCCGGATCGGTCCTAACGGCGCTCCATTTTAGGTCGAAGGTCAGGATCGCCACGAATTCTGCAACGTTGCATCATCGGTTCGTTTGGCAACAACGCATCTCGTACATTCCAAGGCAAGGTTTTCACCTCCTTGATCGTAGATGAGTGATTTTGTTGTCAATTCAGACCCAGCGCTTATTGTGGAGTGCCGTCCTGCTTCCAAATTGGTTTTCACATACGTTCACGCAGGCAGTGGTAATTTGTATCGCGTAATGGTATTTGTTACATTTTCTGACTGCTCGCTGCCGCAAATTGTAACATTAACTCAGGATGTTTTGGTTATTATCACCATCGGTGGAAATCAAAGATAATTCTAAAATTAAAACACTAAGTCGCATCAAAATTGAAATAAATAATTCTAATCAAAATGAAAACAAAATATGAAATTAAAAGTTCAAACAGACCTCCTTCTTGGGTTTCACAATAACCTAACCTATTTTGGAATCATGTGACCTTCTGCGTCACCGTCGCTATTCAATGTGGCGATGACCTTCTCTCTTCAGCCGGCTTCTATCTCGTTCTAAGATGTGTTGATACACACTTCTCGCGCTCCTCACTCAAACACATTGAACTCAAGCCTTCAGACAAATTTGGCTTTCCCTGTATGAAACTATATACTTACTAAATTTCTCGAAAACGGTGTATTGTAATATAGTTACGAGTTTTTTTTGGAATTTGAAAACATGGAAATTCAACAAGCAAACAACTTCAACAAATTCTCCGGCAAAATCCGGACAGAATAATAAATCAATAAATACACACAAATGTCCACTTTCTGTATATGCGCCTGATGTTCTCAAAGATATATGCGTGCTCAGGACGACAGGACATGATATCGTAGTGAAAAAACAATATCCTTATCATCCCATTATATCTATTGTGTACACGACTTCATTAAAATTGCCCGTAGTTGAACTCATTTATTCCATTACAGCGGTTTTGGTCAAGATGACATTCTATGATCCGGACTTCAGTATACAGTATGTTTTCCCTTTGATGAAGTTATCTGAAAAACTAGGAATAACACCCACTATCAACTTGGATACCATGAAAATAAAATCTAACAAGTACTACCCTTCAGCAGCTGCTGCAGTTGTAACACTATGTTCTTTATTAAACTTCTGGGACACCCTGAAAATGATCCCAAATGTACGAGGAACATCTACTGTTTTGGAGGTATTTATAAAACTGTGCATTTATTCATGCAGAATATGTTATATTAAATGTACTTATGTCTGTAAGGTTTATTTTTTTGATAGGCACATGTCATCGAACTTTTCGTTTTTTTATTTGTTTTCCGTCAATATATGCACAAAATAATATTAATAATAAGAAATTATTTTGGTGTTTTAGTATTTTTATATGAAATAAATAAATAAATCATTTTTATTATATAATAATATATTATTTAGCAGTTAATGAATACACTAAAAATTTAAGAATAATTTAAACATAATGAATATCCTTTGTCGCAAGTTTTTAAATAAAAGCGTGTTACACCCTTTTCACTCTCTCTGTTGAAATGAAACACGCTACTACGGCTTTAGAGTACCCCTATCTGTTACTATGTAAACACATATCAGTAACTCCATCATAACTCATTTACTTTTAACACGCTTTTATTAGCTAGACCTGTATGTATGTAGGTGTGTATGTATATCTATGTAACGGAATATGTCAACCTAATTTTCATTAATTTCAAGAGGTCTAATTAACTCCAAAATTTGCACAGAAGTCAATACAATAATCTTGGAAAAGGAATCGAATTTAGAAATTTGAACAAAATGGATTTGAAAATTTGGAAAATAATTCTAGAATTTGGAGATTTGAAAAATGATATCAGGATTAGGAAATTTTGAAAAAAAATTGGCAATTTTGAAAAAATGGAAATTTCGAAACTTGTGGAAGTAAATTCAGATTCGCAAATATAAAATATATCAAGAATAGAAGCTCTTGATTATAAATGCCTTTTTTTTATTATTATACTCCAACCACCACGAAGGCCTAAGACCTAAACACACATAGTGTACCCAGTGGCGAAGCTAGAAGTTATGGGGCCCCGGGGCAAACATTTTTTGGGGGCCCTCATGAGTATGTTTAAGAATAAAAATATCATGTTATAATAAAAAAAAATGTTTATTGTCATAAAAATAAAAAGTAACACAAATTAAAATAATGAAATAACAAAATTCAAAAATTAAACAATAATCAAATTAAAAATTCTTTTTTCTTGCTTTTCTATTTGCAAATTCGTTGATAATATCATTTATATCAAGGTTTTGGGCTTCTTCATTCTCTATAGAGAGCAAAGCAAGATCGCTTAATCTAATCCGGCCTGTAGTAGACCTAAGATAGTTTTTTACAAGTTTTAGCTTGTTAAATAATCTTTCAACAAATGCAGTAGTTACAGGCAACGTAAAAAATAAAAGGAACATTAAGTAAACTTCACTTAAGTCGCTTTCAAGTACCCCATACTTACTTAAAATTATATTGAAATATTCCTTAATTGATAGATCATTCTTAAGGTCTCTTTTACAAACATTTAACAAATTGGTATACTGAAATATTAAATTACTTAAATCAAATATTTCAGGATATTTGTTATAATTGGCTGTACATTTATTTTTAATGGATGTTTCATCGCAACTTAATATAATTTTTGGAAGAAGTAAATCAAACAATTTATTAATTTTTTTCATGCTCCTAAATCTATTAGAAATCTGTGTCAGAACACGGTTCATAACAACATTAAAAATATTTATTTTAAATAAAATTTGAGTATTATTAAATCTGTAATCACTTAAGAGTTCGTCAAAGTTTTTTTTAACTTTAGGTTGACGTTTTTGCCAGAATTCCGGTTGAATACTCCATTTGTTAGCCAGTTCCGTAGCTTCAATCATTAAAATTTCCTAAGAAGATCTTAAGTCAGTAAGGTTCTTTTCTACTTGTTCTAAAACAGTCACAGATTCACTTAAATCAATATTTTTCTTTTGAAGGACATTTGAGGCGAAGTTAACCTGGGTAAAGATTTTATACAACATTGTTGAAATAAATACAAATTCAAAGCAACACATTTGTTTTTTAATGGAAGAAGCTTGTTCTTTTTTATGAGAAGACTGTAACTCTATTTCTGTTAAAGATTTAATAATATCAAGATAACGAAGTTTGACAGTACTAATAGACAATATCCTTCCTGACCAACGAGTTGGATTTAATGTTTTTAAAGTTGTTTTGGATTCACTGGTAAAGGAAGCTAAAAGATCCCATCTATCAATACTTAAACCAAAAAAAGAATATATATTTTGCATAGTTACTTGTTCTTTTTCAGCATGCTTTTTTAATTTTTCCTCTTTTTCTAATTTCAATTTTCGTTTCTGTGCTCCAGACTGATATTTCTGCTTATCTTCCATTTTTATTTTTTTAGCGTTTTGTTCCGCAATCTGCTAATTCTGCAAAGAGAAGAATACACAACCATTTTTAAATGCATTAAATAGTTTGGTAGTTGTGTATCAATTAGACTTTCAAAAAAATCGTCTATTTTTTCTCTCAAGTACGTCGAAAATATTCTTAAAAATGACGAAAAAAAATCCTGTAAAAGTAACAGCTCTTAATATTAAGTGGTGCCGCATCGCAAATTTCAATTTCGCTCGAAAAACTTTTGAACGAGTAGGTTTATCGGAAAATTGTAAGAGATCTTTTTTGTAAAGCATTCAATTCCCTACGAGAATAAACTATGAACTCATCCGTATGATAATTTAGTAATGAAAAAAAATTCAAAAGTTGAAAACAATTTTTTTCCCATGTTAATGAAGAAATGTTAAAGCTGTAACTTTTACAGGATTTTTTTTCGTCATTTCTAACAATTTGTTCGATATACTATATACTTAAGAAGAAAAAAATTAGTCGATATTTTTGAAACAGTCAATAGATCATTTTTAGTCTTTAACAACCTTTTCGAATTTAGTGTCGGGTTTAAGGTGCCCGCAGAGTTTCCGTAACATAACACTTAAGCCTGTAACGTAATTTCTCATGCCTTAAGGCTTAAGTCTTGACTATACTTTATAAATCACCTGATCAGAATTCTGTATAATTCCTTGCGGTTAAGTCTTAATCTGTCTTAAATAAAACTTAACTCTTAAGTCTTACGTTACGGAAATTCTGCGGGCGCCTTTACTCAGCAAGGTAATGGACAAAGGACAAATGTACATTTACAAACAAAATTACGCACAAATCAAAATCGAGCCATTTATTCATTAAGTAATATAAGTTACACTTTTTTTTTCTAATAGGTACCTTATAATAACGAGACACAATAGTCACAATACAAATATACGAGTAGTAATGTTATTTTACACCACGCCGGGCACCACGGCACGACTACGACACATATCAATATCACATAAACATCATCAAAACAATAGATCGGGGATTTCCCAAAGTATTAAGGCGGTGGTGCCAAGCCCGTCGCGGTCCGACGGATTATAGTTACATACATTTAGGAACGCAAGCGTTTTCCTCAAATATGTAGCGTTTTAAAAAATAACCATTATTTATCATTATATTTATTATTTATTTTTCTTTCTAGTATACCTAGGTTATATTAGCACTTAATGAATTTATTGCTGATCGGCACTTAAAAACAATTTTTTTGAGGCGCATGGCCGTGGCCCCCTATAAGCCGGGGCCCCGGGGCACTGCCCCGGTTTGCCCTAGGATAGCTACGCCCCTGAGTGTACCGTGGGGCTATAGGGGGATACAGGAGAAAGGGGGGACGCCACACGGACTCTGGCGAAGGAACACGTGTGCTACATTCTAGCCCCGCCTACGAGATCCTCTGGGTAGTACCTCTGCGTTCGATAGTCAGAGACCGTCTACCAATCACGACATCCATAGCAAGGAGAAAAATTTGAACCCGCACAGCGCACGGCGACTGATCAGGAGACCTAAGAGTCTACTACTGCCTCCACCGCTGCTGCATGTTGTCGTTTTGAAAATTCAGAAGATAAATTATAGTTTAAAAAACTCAAAAATGGTTAATAGCTGAAAAGTAGAAAATAATTTTCTAGTATAAGATAGTTTGTATTACTAAACAGAGTCCAACAATCAAGTATAACTTACTAATTTGGGATAAGATTAGTATAAAAGTTAAGATCTTAATACAGGGTTATTCATAACCACGTGACAACACAAATATATTCTGAAAGGCAACATACTAAAAAGCTGGCAACGGACGGTGACCAATAATTAATGGATTAAACGACTTACCTTAAGGAAGTTCAATCCAAATTATGCGAGCGTTTGGTTTCCAATATACGAGTATAACACATTGTAGTATATTCTCCTCAGTGCTTTTGTTCACAACGTTAAAAGAAAACATTTGGCTGTCCCTGTATATTCCCTTTTCTCGCTTCCCGCGTCTTAAGCCTTCGTCATTATGAGTTGTGCTTAGATCGGTTGGGGCATATTGGTTATGTTTGTAAACAGAGAAAAACGGGATGGGTGCGAAGCTATATATTGGAATCCAAACGTTTGCATAATTTGGATTGAACTTCCTTAAGGTAAGGCGTTTAATCGTTTAATCCATTAATTATGCTTCACATCTGGTTTCCAATATATAACACATTGTAGATGTTTAAAGTAAATTACGATCTAAATAGAAAGTGTTTTTTCAGTAGGTAAATTTATGTATTTTTATGAAATGATATTAACAGTCATTGAATAAGTTGACTAAAACTAATGACTTACTTATATAAATCCGAGTATAGTTATATACAAAAAAATGGAAGGTTTTATCTAACCAATGTATAACAATAACACAAATCATTGAACACCATTTTGACTAACTACGAAATGCTAAGCAAGAAAGATATGTTAATACTTGGCTAAGGTTTTATTTTTTTGTTTATTTTAATGACAGGCATATCAACCCATTAACGCCCAAATTAAACTTGAACATGGAAAACTGATATTATGCATATAAGGTAGGTTAATAGGACTAAAATAAAAACTGAAGATCATAAAACCATATATATTTTATTATTTTTACCAAAAAAATATCTGTACTCATTTGAGTACAATGGGCGAAACCGTTTATTTTGTATGATGTAACTTGAAGCAGGCACGTTCAATACGTAGTGTTGACGAACCCTTGAATGGCATACTGTACATCGTAATTGCTTCTCTAGCTTCGCAGGAAAATGTCCGAATTTATGAAGGATTTCATTTCTTCTTTGGTGTCGAGTATTTTGAGATAACATGGACTGCTCGACAATATGCCGCAAAACCGTATCATCAAAGAAAAGTTCAAATAGTTCCTTTATCTCTTCCACTAGTTTATCCCTATTGGAATTCATTTCACATAACGGTGGCGGCTCAGACCAAATGGAATATTCAGGATTGCATTTCTCTCAGTCCAAGTCATCGTGTTTAGATTTATTTAGGTATTTGTATACGTTTTCGCACTTCACTCAAATGCTCTTCGTCGCTGCTTCAGAACTCGTCATTTGTTGAACTTTGGCGAAACAGCTATAAACGACTAGAACCATCTTGTAGCATTCTATTTGCCATCAGTTGCTTTTAGTCCAATTCCTCCTCGTCAGTCAAATAACGCGCGTCTGGAGGCAAGACCACAACATCATCGTTATCTTTTAAATCATCTCGAGCATCAGGCAGAAAATTGTAATACTCGTATGTTTTAACAGGATCATCAAAAAACGGTTTATACATATCTAAAACAAAAAAATAGCATTAGTCGACTGATAACGAATTTGCCCAGTGTACTCATTTGAGTATAGTCAAACTTGAACATACATTCTAATTACATCAAATCAGTTGAAATAATTTATGCCCGGCAAATCAAACAAACAACCTTTACATACATATATATAATATAAAAAGATTATGTTTATTAGATGGTCATCTCAATAAGAAAAAATTATGTAAAATCCGAACTTACCTTAGATCAAATAAGCAATAACTTCTATTACTGTAAACAACACACTCACAGAATTTATGAAAAATGGCTCTTGCGCCCTGTCGCATGTACCATCTGCAAATGTTTATAAATGGCAGTACTTCTGTGGTTGACTCAGAGATGGCTCTGATAGGAACAAACACGAGTGTACTCGCTTGAGTACAGCGGGCGTTAATGGGTTAATAAAATACAATGACATTCATTGTATTGAGGTAAGTATGCTTTCCGCGAAGTTTGACATCCTTACTAATGGTCTATGGTAAAAAACGTTAAATACTTGAGATTTCTCTGTCCACCCGGCTGCCTCTCTGATTGTTTCAATGCTTAGCCCATTTATTGATGCTGCCCAAGTGGAAGCATGCCTGGTTCGGTGACTTTTAAAGGTACTTATATCAATTCCGCTTTGTTTTAAAACGGTTTTTATCCACCTGTTGACAGTCTGAGAGGAAGCTGGATGGAGTGGTTTTTTGAAGGTGAGTAACAGTTGTTGATTTGTATCTGTTCTCAAGGGCAATGTGATTTCCAGATACTGTAAAAGAGTGGTTGCAACGCAGATCTCTGGTTTCTCTCGGAAAAAAGGAAACGAGAGTACCGGTTGGTTTTTGTTAGGTCTCGAAGTTTTTAACATTTCCGTAATGTAAATATTTACCTTTTCGTTCTCTTGTATATCAATGTTGTCAAGTTGTCAATTTTCGTGAGTGTTTGCACCCTTTGTTCTGTTGTGAGGGCAAGCAAAGTCACTAGCTTTAATGTTGATTTAGCAAGAGATAGAGTTGAGTTTTTTTGTGCCTCCAGATAATTCAAGACTATACTGGGGTCCCAAGTATATTTATATTTCGGAAACGTTGGTCTTGTTCTGAAAACCCCTTTTAGATACCTTTTTATGAGCAAATTTTGTTCCTTTAGAAAGGAGAAAAGTATTGCCAAAGCAGAACTATGTGAGTTAAGAGACGCATAAGAAACCCCCTTTTCAAAATGTTTTTGTAAGAACTCTATAACATTTTGCGCCGTTGGATGAAAGTGAGGGATACTTTCAGTATTGCACCACTGCCACCAATGTTGATAAGTCCAGTTATATTGCTTCTTAGTATTTTCACTTAGTGAAGCAATAAATGTTGACACTGCACATTCACGTACATTTTTTTGTAAAAGGCTTGCCGCAGAGTTTCCCATCAGCCAGGGTAAGGCTGGGACTCAAGGGATGAGGTTCTCTAAAAGGTGATAAAAGGAGATTATTAGATGGTTTTAAAATAATCACTTCCGAAACTAACAACTTGTGAAACAATGGATACCATGCTTGTGAGGGCCAATATATATCGGTGATGATTTTGTTTAAAGTTCGGGGTATCAAGGAAAAAGTTGGAAAAGCATAGAAATAATAATTTTCCCATGATATAGTGAAGGCATCCACCGCTAGAGAGTCGGGATCCCTATGCCATGAGATATATTTTGAGCATTTTAATTGAGATGCAAAAAGATCTATTTCAGGTGTTCCCAATTTTGATTTCATCGTATGAAACGCCTCAGCATTTAACGAATATTCGGTTTCGGTTGGTAGGGATCGCGATTCCTTGTCGGCCTCAACATTACATTTGCTGTTTACGTAAGAGGCAAAGATAAAGATGTTTCTTTCCTCACACCAGTTCCAAATTTCATAGGTAAGTAAATTTAGATGTCTATGCTTTACACCTCCCATACGATTAATATAATGCTTTTGCAAATTATTTTAATCCGTTCCAAGCAGCTAAAAGTTCTAAAAAAATAATGTGGGCTTTTGCTTGTTCTTCTGTCCAAAACCCATGCGTACGTTCATTAGCAGCAAATGCCCCCCAACCAGATGGAGATGCGTCCGTAAAGATTTCGATTACGAACTTATTACTCAAGAAAAAATTTGGGATACCAATACCAACCACCAGTTGAACTCGACCCGTAAGTTTGAGGAAATGGGCATGTATCTATTATAATCTCCCTTATGTTTTTTCAAATAGATATATTTGTGTTGTTCAAACCCCTTGGTGTGCAACCAGGTATATGGTATTGCTGGGCAAGCTGATATTAATGTTCTTATAGTTTTCGCGAACTCACGAATTCGACAATTTTTCTTTATTATTATTGAGTTTAACAATTTATATATATTTAGTTTTTTCTTGTAAATAGGAATTGAAAAATATGCATCCTTCAAATCTAGAACAGCCATAAATACAGATTTATACAATATGTTTTCAACCATTCGGTAATCTTCTAATTTGAAGTGTGGCGGGTTTACATATTGATTACATTTTTTCAAGTTCAGAATGAACCTGAACGTTCCATCAGGTTTTTTCCTAGGGAAAAAAGGGGATAAGAAATCCCCTTTCTCCCTTTTACATGGTTTAATTGCCCCCTTCTCCATTATCGTTTTGATTTCATTAATGATGACTGTTGATTCTGTAGTCGACCAAGATTGCTGATTAAATTTTATTTGACTGGGTCTAGAATTTGAAGGTAATTTATACCCTTTGATACAGTTAAGGATGTACGAGTATGTACTGTTTGTTAATTTTGCCCACTGCGATATGGCAAATTGCAAGCTGCCTGCAAGTTTACGCACCTTGGTGTGTCCTACTGATTTTTCCGAAACTGACGTTCCCGGTTCAGTTGTTGCTTCCGCCAATTGCGATTGTTGGAGTAGTGACCCTGATCCCTCTTCCTCTGTTTGTAAGGCTGGCGCTTGAAGTTTTTTGGAGGGGCAGGCTTCTCAAAAACTTTTATTTCCCTACTAGTTTACTCGACTTCTTTGGCTAACTTGCATTTTTCTTGGAAATCGTTTCCAAAGAGAAATTTTTCCGGTGGTAAATCTTGTGCCACTTTCCTGGCTGAAGGCGAAATTTTTGTTGCCATTAAATACCTTCTATGTGAGTGAGACTATGCATAGCTCCGGAAAAAAACTTGGCAGCATCTATTACAGTTTTATTGCTCTCGGTATTTTCAAGCTTGTCCAAGGATTCACTAAGAACCTGTCCCAACGCGACTAGTCCTTTTCCCAAACAATTTTGAGCTTTAGTCAGATATGAATCGGTGGATTTTTGGTCATTTGATAATAATACCAGCACTTCTGGGTTGACTTGAGGGGCTTGTAGTAATTCCCCATTCGAGGAAAGCGGGTATTTTTGATACATTTCTTTAAACTGGTCTTTTTCTACGCCTTTACTGATGTATGTGGACCACCTTGACATAAGCTGATCATTTAACGGTGGCCCGGGCGCCCCCTCCCCCTCTTCGCAGCCCAAAAGATCATTAATATGATGATCAGTTTTATTTTCCAGGGTTTCGCGAGTTTCTGTCAAGTTAACGGGAGTATTTTCCAGGGTGTCGCGTGTTTCCGTCAAGCTATTGGGATGACGACTGTCATCGGAGTCATAATAGTCTGATTCCGATGCAGTGGTCCTGAATTCTGAATTACCTGAAACGGTTAAAACTCTGCCAGGACTTACAAATATTTTGAGACACACGGTACAACAAAATGTACAATGATATTATTGTTTACGACCGGTAAGAGACACAGTCGCAAAAAATAACCGAGCGATGACGATCCGGTTGTTTGCATGGTTTTTGCAGGGCCTGTTCGATACATCAGCACGAAATATTCTATGCCACATAAGATAACAGTACGAATATTTTCTTACGTCGCCCACATAATGTAGAGTGACTGCATGCTGTGCTGCCCTGTTCTAACAATTCGATGGAATTTCTACATTGCATACTTCAAAGTAAATAAGACATGAAAAATAAACAAAGAAACTTACTGTCGAATGAAGAGCTGGATGAAAACTTGCTCAGTAACTTTCTTAACACTTTCTTATACATGGTGCGGCAGAGAGGACGGACGTTTTTGGGATGAGTAGTACTCTCCGCCTCCGTCTACGAGAGAGGTGGGGAGGGTGCCATTTGACTCATGATACTATGACTATGAAGGTAAGCTCACTTCGCGGTCGAATTTCGTACGCCTTTGCGCATGACGTCACGCGGAGACCTATGTTTGGCGCGCAGTACGAAATACAGTGTATTCAGATACGATTTAGATGTAGATTTAGACGTTGTGATTTCAATATTTGGGATGTTTGATTTATATTTTGTAGTGTTTTTAATGTCACATGATTGTTTTAGTATTGCATAGTATGCATAGATTTTATTATTTATGTTTTGATGTACTTGTCAATAGAATTTAATGGAGTTTGTCAGTTGGGCCGCAAGTAGAGATCGGGCGGGTCGCGCGTTGGAATATATCATTATAGATAAGTTATGGGTTTTAAAAATGAACAGTAACATGCCACCAGCCGTTTAATAACTAAAATTTGTTGTAACTCTAAATAAAGGGGCTCACTTTATTTATAGAAATAAATAATAATTCATTTGTGCATTTTTTCAGCAGAAAAAAATAGATGACGAATATGTCGCATCTCATGTCTTTATAGTGTTATGTATAAATAGGTAGTCTACTTACATAGTTTTTCAATATTTTTATAGATAGGTGACAATAAAAACCTCATTCATTGGTAAACAGTTTTATTTAATTTATTTTACAATATTCATCGGTATAAATACACAAGTCTTATTAATAGAAAACACAAAAGAATCTCACATTTGGACCATATTGGCAAAAAAGAATATCTCAGATTTTTCCCTAAAATCTTATTTATTGGTAAACAGTTTTATTTAATTCATTTTACAATAGTCATCAGTAAAGATACAAAAGATTCATCAATAGAAAACACAAAAAAGTCCATTTCGAGCACATTGGCAAAAAAAATCCCAGATTTGTCCCTTTAGGCGCCTCAAATTTTATATACTAAGTGACGAACACCCAGTTTAAATGGTTTTATTTTAATAAAATTTTGTATAAGTATTTAATGAAGCATAATAAGTAAATGATAAAAAATTCAAAATGATTGCACTGCTTTAAAGCCCTTTGACCTTTAATAATGTGTGGATGCACCCTGATGTGCTACGCATTCTCCAACGCGCCTAGGCATGCTTCTGATCAGGTGGTCAATGTCCTCCTGTGGTATCTCATTCCAGGCAACCACCAACTCCTCTCGAAGTGCTTCTAGAGTCTGAGGAGGACGTTGCAAATTGAGCAATCCCCTACCCATCACATCCCACACGTGCTCAATTGGGGATAAGTCGGGAGATCTTGGTGGCCAGGGTAACAATGTGACATCATTATGTTGAAAGAAGTCTATTGTGACTCTTGCAACATGTGGTCGGGCATTATCTTGTTGGATAGTTGGATCTGACAGGGTGTCAAGATAGGGTAAATGAAGGCTGAAATATTCATTTTTAGATCGTTAGTGAATTAAAAAAAAGCAGTATAAAAACCGGAATGTCCAACTGATAAGGCTGAACATTTTTTCACTTGTTATTTACAGTAAGATAAATACATTCACCAACTTTTATCAAAATAAAACCATTTAAACTGGGTGTTCGGATTTATATGTATATCACTTAGTATATAATTCATTGCACAATTTTCAACTTTTTCCTTTTTGCAACCTGGGATTTTTCTTTTATGTGCCTGTTCAAACTCCTAATTTTAAAATACATCTTGCAACGAAAAAAAAGATGCTTGGCATCTGCACTCAAGCTAACTGATGCAGCTAAATCCATCAAAGATTTCAGATAATTTTTGGTTAATTTCAATGTTTCCCCATTAAAAGTGCCGAAAATATGGTCAAGTTCATTACATTTGACCATAAAATCGGCATTTGGTTTGAATAAACCACCCTCAGAGAGGTGGTTAACCCATGAAAATGATGATTCACTGTCATCTGGAATAACACCTAAATTTTCTTTTTTCCTTAACCTATATGCTATATAACCAGCCAAATTTTCTAAACCATCCCATTCTAATTCTTGGAGATGGTCAATGATTGTATCCTCTGGATCGGAATCTTTTTGTACAGGTTCATCACAATTTGGTACATTTAAAACTTCAAACATTTGTCCAGTAACAATTTCAAAGTCATCGACATCATTCTCATACACATTAAGGTCCGAAATACTACTTACACTAGCGATTGCAATATTTGGCACGTCCCCTATGGTAGCAATATTTGCTGATTTGGAAATAATGTCGTCATTTCGTCCCATGATGTAATTGCGGAGTCTATATTTGAACTGCAGAGCAGTGGGGTGATCATATAAGCCTCCAATTGCTCTAATTTGTGAAAAAAAACCTTCTAAGGGATCCTGATTCAAATTATAAGTTAATAGATATTTTATACCGAAATCCTCTTTCATGTCATAAAAAAGCTGCTTCAAAGACTGTATGCTGATTATAATACCTCGTTGAAACGGCAACAACGTGTTAGAGCCGACTTTTCTCAGATTTTGCATTGTTTTTTCCATTGACTCTAAAATTTGATTTTGCTCATCTAAAGCCAACCCATATGCCTTTACACGTTCCCTTGAATCACTCTGAGGTATTCTCGAATTGAATACGTCAAACCAATCATTGGTGATCTTTATTAATTCTGAACATTCAACCCAATTGTTTTCACTTTTGAAAATATCTAATGATCCCAGCCTTGAAATTGCTTTTGATACTGTGTGTGAAAACAATTTGGTTGCAAATTTAACTTTTTGTCGTTGAGGACCCTTAACTGTTAAGAAATCGGTGTTGATTTTATGTGCAATATTTAAGTCTAAATTTTGTGTATTTTGGAGTAAATCTACAATTGGTTTAGAGGTTATAATCTTTCCATTCATAATAAAACCATCATCAAGAAAGTGATTTCGCAATAGTTTAATCATGTGTGGTGCATCTGCAAACACATGTACTCTTTTTTGGCTTACAGGATTTGTGAACCATGTTCTTTCTTCTGTTATATTCAAGGATTTCCATAGTCCCCTGTTACTACCTCCTAAATCGGAATTAATTGCATAAACTGGGTATCCCAGATTTTCTAATTTGGAAATGATTTTAAACAAAAGATCCTTCGTTATTTTCCTGTCATAATCATAAAATATGGGCTGCTTCCACCTTCCACATATTCCACGAGCCATGACAACTTGCACATATTTACTGGGTCCTAAGGTTCTGTCACTCTTCTTATCATATTCATAACAGCTTTGAATTTTCATTTCATCAAAGAGTAGGACACATGCTTTTTCCATCATTGGCAGAGCTGTGTCTTTTATCAGTGTCAGTACTGTGTTAAGTATACCTGAAACAATTGAAGTAGTTATATGTTATTCAATCTTAGTTACATGCATAATATTAATCATAAAAATTAATAAACAATCAACAATGCTGAATGACTAAAAAATGACATTAAACATGGGATGAGAAAGCTCTGAAGAACACTCACACTGATGCAGATCCTAGAATGTTTTCATCAAATTACATATTCAAATATCTATAATTTGTAAAAAGCAACGCTGATGGTTTTACTCTTCATGGAAGCAATCATAGTTGCACAATTGTTACCAAAGTATGTTTTCAAGTATACCTAGACAAATGACCAATACAAATCTATACCTATCTATCTATCTAAATACCTGGTTCAATATTAATTTTACTAGCCCATCTTCTCAAAGTGGATACTGCAGGAAGAGGATAACCCCTTTTTCTGAGTAAGCGGTATGACCTGGGACCACCTGCATATAAGGAAATAGCTGAAGCTACATCTCCAACACTCCACTGGATTTCCTTGGTTGATTTCAGCTTACGAAGTTGCCCTTCAGTGAAAACTTTTGAAATTTTTTCCTTTTCTTCCATTTCTCTTTGAAGTAACTGCTTCAATTTTGCAATTTCAACTTCAAGACTTGTGATGTGTTGATCAACATCACATTTACTAAAATAAAATAGATATTTAGATGATTGTATATTTATTCTCATGATTATATTATTTATTATATAATTTATTCATTTTTTACCTTGTTTGAGTGGATACAGTTCTATTTTTCTCAGGAATGTTCTCTTTGTCTCCCTCACTTTCACTTTGTACTTCTGCCATTTCTACCTCTAGTTGTTGATCGATTGATTGTACAAGCTCCCTATTCAACCTTTGTCTTATTCTCCTAGTGCGAGGAGTCTCAGCCTTTGGTGATTTGATCAAATGAACAGAGGGTATTGCATCGCTTTTCAACTTCCATTTATTTTCAGGTAAACCCAACAGTTTCTCCTTTAGACGATAATCGCTTTCCACAAAATGGTTCGAACAAATTCTTGCAGTTTCAGTATTGAATGTGTGTTGCTGATAACACTTCAGAACCCATTCTTTGCGAACTTGTTTGTGTTTAGGAAAGCGGAAGAAACTGCAGGTTGAAAAGTATCTGCTTTTCTTTTTGTTGTTGTTTTTACAACCCACCACTGCACAGTACACCATAGTTCAATGTTAGATTAACTGTTTTTCACAAAAATTTATGCCACACCAGCAGATCACAAACTAATTAAACAAAGCATAAACATTAAACAAGCTAAAGTGCCATATAAAACTGAACTTCCCAGGGGATTTGGGTCTCCGAGTGACGTCACGTGTGCGAGAGAGATAACCTGATCGCATGCGCGTGGGTTTATCTTCTCAGTCATAGTATCATGCATTTGACTCGTGGGTCCTAGCATTATTTTACCAGTTGTCAGTTGTCGTTATGGAGCCTTGGACGGTGGAGCACCGCGTTTTCGACTATGATTGCTGCTGCACATCGCCTTAGTGATCGTTCGGTAAGGCGAATTTTGCATATGGATCTCCGCTTTCATC